TTTATTTTAAAGTTGGTTTTGATATCGTGTTTACAGTAAAAAACTTCAAGAGTGTATTTCTATATAAACTAACGTAAATGAACTGTGTATTGTCAACGCAGCGACGCCATATTAGATAAGCCACTTGCTTCGACCAATAGTGTGCGTTTTAGAACTTAGCGAGGGAATTTGAAAAAGACTCTTTTTAATGATTAAATTTTACCAGTAAATCACATTATATTAAAAAAAATCTTTGCAGGAATGCGTTTTTATAGTAATAAAGTTTGGTGCAATTTGGCGTCACATGCATATTGCCTATTGCAAATGTCAAAATGACATGACATGATGTCAAACCATGGCTTCTTTGCTTCCTTGATGTTGGCAACAACTTATGGTCTCTTTCCCACATTAGGGTTTTTATCCAAAATATTCACCCCCTAAGTTTAATGGCGTTAAAATGTATAGTCTAAAGCGTGACGCAAGTGTAGGGCTTTTAATTAAAAAAAGAATTATTCAAAAATATACTATAATTGCTGACATCTTAGGCAACAAAGAAGTGTGTGTTTACGCTTTATTATAATAGTATAGATAGATAGGTAGATAGAAGATATAGACTATAATTGCGAAAGTTTAGATGGATGGATGTTTGTTAGATTTGTAGCCTAAACGGCTGAATGGATTTCGATGAAATTGGGCATAGATGTAGATGAGTGGCAGAACACACATGCTACTCACTTTTGTTCTTTTTAATACTACTCGGACGGAGTCGCGGGCGAAAGCTAGTATTTGTATAAATAAATATATTACCTGGTGACATCCCATGTCTTGAGAGTACCGTCAGTGCTGGCAGTGATCAAGAGGCCGGGAATTTGCTGGCTTAATATCAGTCCTGATATACAAAAATATTTTACTAAGAGACGAAATGTGGCCCCAAACTTCGTTAGCGCAAATTAGGAATATTGTTACGCTATTTCGACAGCGCAGGATTAAAAAAGTAGTCTATAATATGCCCGTCTATGTGTTCGGTGAAGAAATTCAAAGATATTTGTGAAGTCAACCAACCCGCAGTGGGCCAGCGTGGTTGACTATGGCCTGGTCACCCTTACTTAGGGTAGACTCTGAGCCCCTCAGTGGGGACGTATATTGAGCTGGTGATGATGATGATGATGATGTGTTCCCCTTAAGTGAAAGTTCGGTCGAAATCGGTCCAGCCGTTTCTTAGTTTACCCGGATCAAACGCATCTTGCGGACAGACAGACAGACAGACAAAAAAAAATCGTTTTTGGAATTTTTTTGACATCAGACACTCCAATTCTATTATATGTATATTTAGATAAATAAACTGAAAAAGAGCATTTACAAAAATAACAAAAAGTACTACAAATAAATCTGAAAGAAATTAAGCATTTGTAAGGAGGTTATTTACCAGTGACTTCCTTCTCGTGAGCATCAATGGTCCAAAGCGGCAGATCCTGTCTGCAGTCGACATACGCCACTTTACCTACGTTGTTACTCATCTAATAACAAGAAACATTTTTTTTTAATTTTCACAGGGGGCTTTGTCACATGATGATAACGCCCCATAAGTCTAAAACTTACAAAACTCAATTATCCAACTGTTTTCTTAAACAGATGTCGGCCAACTTAAATACCATCCCGGCCTCGTCCGTAAACAGGTAAGCCAGGATAGTGTTTAAGTGACCGACATTACATCAAAAAAAAATCTAAATGAAAATCTATAGGAAAGATAATTCGTGTCTATTGACCAGAGATGTACATAATAGTTTTAAAAAAGAATTTAAATAGACAATGCAAAATACAAAATTGACTAGCGAAAATCAATATGACTTCAATGAAACTTAAAATACAAAAACATTATTATTACATGATACAAGTAATCTTAGTAATATTAAAAATGTGAAAGTTTAGATAGATGTTTGTTAGAATTTGTAGCTTAAATTGCTGAACGGATTTCAATGCAATTTGGTATATATGTAGAGCATAGTCTGGAAGAACACATAGGCTAGTTACTTTCCTTAAATTCCACACGGTCAGAATCGTGGGCGAAAGCTAATATTTTACTAAATCTAAGCTAATCTGAGATTGCTGCCCCTACTCTAACATTTAGATGTAAGAATGGTGATAGAACTAATACTTGGATTTTTTTAATTCAATTGTGAATATAGTATGTAAAAAAAATAATTATTACACGAGGAAAGATTTGTTTTTATGTATGTATTGAAATAACTCAAAAACTACTGGTTTAATTTCAAAAATTCATCC